GTGCCGCTTCTCCGGGGTCCCCGGCCCTGTAAAAATAGATAAATCGGAATAGGTATACATATATTCAAAGCGTGGCTCCCCAGAGGTCGGCACTCCTTCCCGTGAATTGTCTTCTCGTCCCGAACCGCTTCTTGAAAGCCCCCGGGCCCAGCAAGGATCCCGATGGCCCGAGAATGGCATCACAACTTGGGCCGCACTTTTCCACGACGTGACAATGTCAAGGCTTCGCGTCGTGACTCGGGCCCTCGGCGGCCGCTCGGGACGGTTCGGGCACGCCTCGAACACAGTCGGCGAGGCGCGGCTGCTGGAGCGCATCCCGAGGCCAGAAGCCTTCCAGGAGCAGACGAGGACGACCGAACACCTCGAGCCCCGAAGCCCAGCCGCCGAGGGCCACCGACGAGCGCCACACCTGGCAGAGGGAGGAAGTGCGCCGAGGCCTCAGAAACGGGGCAATGTCTCCACCGACGGAACCCAAAAGCCGAGATCTGCAACAACTACCGTCGCGATTTGTTCCGCAACGCAGAGATCGTGAGCCGTCCACGCCGCCTCGGCAGAACGAGGGAGAGCACCCAAGGTTGACGACATGGGGGGGCAACGCATCCACCGAAGGCCCACCGTAGAGTACCGCGGCTGCCCCCTCCTGCGCGGCTCCCTCCTCCCACCCCCCCCACCACCACCGCCGTGAATGCACCACGACTTGCCCCCCCCCTCCATCCCCCCCTGCGCCTCGTGCTCTTTCTCCTCCTCTTTAATGTTGTTTCTTTGTAAAGAATTACTCCGTGTCGCGCCACAGGACGTGTTCGTAGGCCAGACCAGACGTTTCGCCTGAGATCTCCTCGCCAACACTGCCCCTTAAGCTTGATTTGCAGCAATGTTAAGGATTGGGGCCAGGGATGCTCCTAAAATGAAGCTGCGGCTAGCGCCACGCATGTTCGTGTTAAACTTTTGCGGCCCCTTCTAGGATGGAGGCATATTATGTATAACAACATGTGGTTGACACGATGACACTGAGCACACTCGTCTTAAAAACGCTGCAACAATTTCCAGGATGGAGGCTGGCTCGTTTTCACAATTTGGCTCTCGCCTTAGCGCCGCGCATAATCGTCTTAAACGTAGCAGCAATTTCAAGGATGGAGACCATCTCGTTTTTCCAAATGTGGCTCTCGCCTCAACGCAGCGCACATCCACGCGACCCAACCCTCACCACCCGATGACGAGCATGCTATCTGGTGCACATTCATATGACCTGACATTCGCCATCCCATACAACACTTTGCCATTCTGCTCATCTGATCAAAACCATGCGACCCAACCCAAACCATTATATGTAGACTCAACTCTGGCGAAGGACTTAAATATATGCAGCTATGAATCACGCGGTTGTGAATATCGTATCCGGTGGAACTGCCCATGGGGCCACGAAGCGTCCTCCTCCTCCTCCTCCTCCTCCTCCTCCTCATCCTCCCCCCTCGTCTTCCCGCTCCTCCTCTTTCTCCTCCTCCTCCTCCTCCTCCTCCTCCTCCTCCTCCTCCTCCTCCTCCTCCTCCTCCTGCTCTCCCCATGCCCCCTGCTCCTCACCCTATTCCACTTTATCCTCCTCCTCCTCCTCCTCCTCCTCCTCCTCCTCCTCCTCCTCCTCTTCCTTTTCCTCCTCCTCCTCCTCTTCCTCCTCCTCTCTCCTCCGCCTCCCCCCTCCTCCTCCTCCTCCTCCTCCCTCCCTCCTCCTCCTCCTCCCCCCTCTCCCTACCTCCTCCTCCTCCTCCTCCTCCTCCTCCTCCTCCTCTCCTCGTTCCCTTCCTCCTCCCCTCCTCCTCCCCCTCCTCCTCCTCCTCCTCCTCGTCCGATTCCTGTTCTTTCTTTCCCCTCTGGGGGTACGACCATTTCTCCAGACCTTTGTTCCTCTGCGTGCTCCTCCACGTTCTTGATCAGGGCAGCTCGACTGGGCATCGTCATTGGAGGGGCTGCCCTCCTCTGTCTCCTCCTCCGCCTCCTCCTTCTCCTTCTCCTCATTCGGCAATTCCTCATTTTCTCTCTCTCCTCCCACTGCCACTCCTCCTCCTCCATTTCAGAATGTTTCCTTTTCCTGCTCCTCCACCTCCTCCTCCTGATATTTATCCTGCTCCTCCCTGTCCTCCTCCGTCTCGTCCTCTCTTCTTCCTCCTCCTCCTCCTCCTCCTCCTCCTTCTCCACCTCCTCATTGTATCATTCATCCATCCTCTCCCTTCTTGGGGCGCGACGGCTTCTCAAGCCTTTGTTCCTCTGTATGCTTCCTCATCCCCTTGATCTGGGCAACTCGCCTGGGCATCCTCTCTGGATGGGCTTCTCGCCCTTCCACTTCCGATGGCATGTTACAGGACGCTCGAAGACCGCCCAAAAAACGATTCCACGTGGCAACAGAGCTCTAGCATTACCACGATCACCCCCGCCCACATGGAAGCCGCCTACGCGGTCAGATGCTCGCGTAGCTGACGAGGCAGAAACTCTCGCCGCTTTCATGCATAACCCGCAGCCCTGCGCGGCCAGCGGCTCGCGCAACTGAGGAGGCCAGAGGCGCTCGTACTTGCTCGAAGAATCCTTTCGCCTCCTGCTCATCATCACCATCACATGCATATTCATCATCACCCTCCGCCCTCCCTCATCTATCCTCCTCCTCCTCTTCCTCCTCCTTCGAACGATAACGGCTGCCCCCTCTTTGCTCCAACACTTCCCCGATCACCTCTACTCGAACGGGCGTCGTTCCTGGATGGGCTTATAAGATACGTTCTCCAGGGTCCCAAGACCGCTAACCAGCAAGAATATCCGACGCAGCAGCGGGAGACGAAGCCAAACGCAACAGCGTGCACGTGGAGTAGCCCCTCGGGCCACAAGTGTGACTCTCCAAGCAAACGTCGAGCAGTGCTGAGAGGGGTGCCAGGCGGCACCACGCAGGCATGTAAGACAATTCTCAAATGAAACGAAAAGGAACTCGGCTAGCCGAAACTCGTAGGCCTTTTTCTCACGGCCAAGAGAACGGGCGGTGGTGGGGAAGCAGGATGGCAGAACTTGAGCCATCACAGTTGCAGTGACAGCAACATGATGTAGACCGGTATGCTACACAGGGACTGGGAGAAACCACATCTACAGATTACTATTCTCCAGGGTCCCAAGACCGCTAACCAGCAAGAATATCCGACGCAGCAGCGGGAGACGAAGCCAAACGCAACAGCGTGCACGTGGAGTGGCCCCTCGGGCCACAAGTGTGACTCTCCAAGCAAACGTCGAGCAGTGCTGAGAGGGGTGCCAGGCGGCGCCACGCAGGCATGTAAGACACTTCTCAAATGAAACGAAAAGGAAATCGGCTAGCCGAAACTCGTAGGCCTTTTTCTCACGGCCAAACCTCCCGAATTCCTCGGGATTGGTCTCTGGACCGTCATTTCACGAAGCGAGTGCAAAAGCCTGGCAGGTAAAGAGCCGGCAGCGCGCTTCGCGCTTCGAATCTGAGAAGCGTCACATTTTTCAAGCTGCTTCAAAAGTTGGGCGTGCTTCTCATATCTTGTGACACTCTTGAAACTCACCCAACGGCCTCTCTTTTGGATTGACGGAAGATCAGCTCTCTTCTCAAACCGATCGTTGGACGGGCCAGAGTGGCGCAACCAATGCGGCGAGCCGCCCACAGCCTGTAGCTTCAACCTCACCAGGGAGGCTTTGAACTCTCTCTCATAGGTGGCAAGATCAAAATCGAACACGCGCTCACCGACTTGGACTGAGTCTTTGAGCGCGGCCACAATGTCTCTGACCCACTCACGGCCACACACCCCGACATCGACGGTGTCATCCGTCTGGCCAGTCTTGGTCCTCCGCCCGGACTCGGACGGCGCGAAGACCACTGCCCAGCGGCCGGCAAAAGCACGGCCTGCCGCGGGCTGGCTACGGAGAATGTCGGCCTCTGAGAGCTCCAGGGTCTCCGAAGGCCTCGAGTGCAAGTCGGTCTGAAGCACCGCGCAGGCGGCCATGCGCACCAGCCCGTGATTCAGCAGGTCCAGCGCGATGGCCCAGATCAGTATGAGCGGATAAGGTAGGCCAACAAGCCCGGGATCTGTCCGCTCCCAAGCCGTCAACTGCCTCCGAGCCCGTGGGAGCAACTGACGTCCGTCCTGAAAAGGCTCTCCTCGCAGCAAGATCCAGCCGAACAGGCCGTTGCGGCCCGTCCCAGGACCCATGCCATCGAAGAACATCTGAGTAAACCAGTGCACCATATTCTCGTCAGCGTCCTTTGCATTGTTGGTCTGGCGACCGACCCCGACGCACCACGCCTCGAAGTCCTCCAGCGCCGCCGCGTACAGCCTCCGAGTGGACTCTGCGACGGACAGCTCCCTCATGAACTGCGCCCGCGAACGCCCGCTGCCCTCAGCCCGACGACGCCGGCTGGCGGCCTTGGCCTTAGCCGAGACCCGGCGGCGGGACGACTGGGAGGTCGAGAGCCTCCCCGCGCTTCCTGAGCCGGGCCCTCTCGGCGGCCCCCGTCCTGCCGAAGAGGACGCCGTGGCGCGTGAGGTAGTCGGTGGCTGCTCCACAAACCGCATCGCCGCACGCTGCTTCGTCAGCACCGGGAACATCGCGCCCAGCACGAAGACGACGGCCAGGCCGAACCAGTGCCGCCAAGGCAGCGTGCCACTCGCCGGCCCAAGGGGCATCGCCCCCACGGGCGGCCAGAGGTGCGACCTCGCTCAAGTATGACGCCCATCTCGAGCACAAAGCCGACGGATACTGACCCGCCAGGGCCGTGAGATTGCACCAGACGTGACCCCCAGAGCCATCAGGGACCCGAACTTTACCCACCAGCTGTTCATGTCGACGATGGGTACAGGGAGCCGACAGGCCCCTCAGCTCCGGGATGTTCGTGAGCACCAGAGTCCACTTTTGATGAGGAGCACCATGCGCACACATAGGAAATCGCACCCAAGACGCACCATGGAGACCAGCGAGGCGACCAATAGGAGGGAAACTCCAGAGCCCAGAGGTCATGGGGTTCTCGATGCTCCAGCCCACTCCACAACGTTGACACTCACGAACAACTTCAGCGGTAAACAACGCGAACTCAACCCCGAGACGCTCCAGGATTTCAGCTCGATGAAGATTGCGGACTCCACGTCGAGCGCTGCTCCAGGCCCTGCACGGGGCCCCCAAATGTACAGCCCAAACTCTTCCAGACCGAACCCGAGATAGGACGAGCAGCTGTGTTTTTCTCCTCGAGAGGTCATACTCGGCACCCTTCTTGATGTCAAACGGGGCCGCTGTCCGCAGCCCAGCACGTCGCACGGCGGCGGTCAACCCCGCCGCACCTGCGAACAACTCCAGAAAGACGCGTGCATGTGAGGTGGAGGGAGGCGATGGTGACTCGGCGTGTTCTCTATGATCGGGAGGAGTGGACGAAGAGGATGAGCCCCCCTCCCCGACGCTCGCGGGCGGCAACCAAGGGGCAACAGGTTGTCGCTCCCTCTTCTTCTGCAGCAGCCACTCAGGGTCGCGGGCCTGGCCCCTCCTCGACCCCTCGTCGGCCGCATTCAGGTCTGTCGGGACGTGCCTGACCCGCCACCGAACTCGGCAGCCCACGCTATAGGCGGCCGCCTTTCGGCACAACGAATTCAGAACGTGTGATCGGGCCCTGCGTTTGTCAAAGCAGCAGCAGCAAACAAGGTTGTCGCAAAGGCTGAGAGCACGGCGCCCGTGGTGGGCGCGTGTCCGGCAAAAGCGCCTCAGGCCGGCCACGCAGATCCGGCCCTCCTTCACGTTGATGTGCTCGTCATACTTCCAACGACCCTCGACGGCGGCAATCCACCCGAGGCTGCTGGTGAGGGCGGTCGGCAGAGCGGGCACGACGTTGAGCAACTCCACCTCCTGGGTCAGACCGGGGCGGCTAGCCCAGCGCCGCGGCGCACCGCGGCCGACAGCAGCTCGGCGAAACAGGAGCTTCCCCAGCTCGGTCTCGCGCCAGGCTCCCGCCGGCTGACCGCCCCGAACTCGGGCGTCTGCATGCTTGGGGGCCCCCTCGTCCAGCGTGGCCCCGAAGCCGTCGGTGACGCCTCGGAGCTGGTTGAGGTACGCCGCCGTGTAGGCGTCCGAGCTCCTGTCGGCCTCCACCTCCACGAATCGCCAACGCTCTCGCCAGCGATATGCATCCCAGACAGCACGAAGCGGCTTCTGTCCGTACATCAGGCAGAAGCCGGAGGACGACGAATCCGAAACGTGGACCTCGTCGGCGAGGGGCGCACTCAGATCGACCTCGGTCAAGAAACAGGCGATGGCGGCCATGCGGAGCTCCCCGCGGACCGCCGCGGGAAACGCTGCCCGCCGCCGACTGCCGTCGCCGATGAAGTGGTACACGCCCTGCAGGATGGACAGCAAGCAGGGCTGCAGCCCCAAGAGGGCCACGGCGTGCCCTGCTCAGACGCGGAGCTCGGCCCCCGTCGCGTGGCCCCGCTTCAGCAGGGCCTTGGTGGCGAAGTAGAAGCGCCAGACCCGCTTGGGCTTCTGGCGCACGCGGCGGTCGGTCCCGCACAGCACCAGGCCCAAACTCTCCAGCTCCTCCACCGCCACGTCCGCGGCGTGCAGGGCCAGCCCCGCCTCGGCAGCCCGCTCCTCGAAGGCCCGCACCCCGTGCTCGGCGTCGACGGCCGAGCCCCCCACCCCTGTGAAGTTGTCCACGTACACGGCGGCCAGAGGCCGCCCAGGGCGCAGGAGGGGCGCAGGGCGCTTGTCTCGAAGGAGCTGCCGATCTCCGTCAGCAGCAGAGCGTCGAACCTGCTGAGTGACAGCCTCCTGGGCGAAGTACAGCGCCCAGGCCCAACCCATCGGTAAAACACGGAGGCAGGGGAACAGGAGCTCGCCTGCTCGGGCAGGAGTCCAGTCTCCCACCTCGTCGTCCCACACGCGCGTGATGCCCATGTCCCAGTCCTCGATGGTCAGCGCGGAGTCGAACCCGAACCAGCTGCCCATCTCCTCGTTGGCGAGCTGGTAAAAACAATCCTTGACGTCGGCTCCCGAGAAGCGCGGCTCGCAGACGCCACCAAAGCCTCCCAGAGCCGTAGCGTAGCTGCTGAGGTCGATCTCCGAAAGGCAGGCTGCACCTCCCAAGACCGTCCGAGGAGGGAGACGATGGCACATGTTCGTCGCCCTCGCGTCGCAGATAAACCTGATGTTGCCGTCCTTCTTATGAACGAAAAAAGCGCCGCAGCGGGACTTGATGGCCCGCCTGAAACCCACGATGCCGATCTTGGCAAGTCGGCGAAAAAAGTCACGACGGAGCTCAGCATCACCGCGAAGCCGAGGGTCCCAGTACGGCTCGGGCATCCCCCCAGCCTCTCGGACACGCTCGGCGATCTCGGGTTCTGAGAGCTCGATCTGGCTCTGGAAGTGTCTCAAAAAACCTGCAGCCTCGGCAGGTAGCAAGTCCGTCACGGGAACTGGGTTGATGTCCCCTTTGCACACCCTAAGGCGCGAGACGTCGTAGCTCGCCAAATGCTGCGGCTCCAGTTCATACTGGTCAGTGGATCTGAGGATCTCCCGGAGGGACCTCTCGCCGTCCACCGCTTCGCTCGAGGGGTTCCCGTAGAAGTCGATCCGCTCCTGGACTGACTCCAGCACGCTGCGCTGCGCTGCTGTGGGAGCTCCCCCGTACGGCCTAACTCGTCGAGCTTTGTCGCATCCTGAATTCACGCGTGAGGCGGCGAGGTAGTTGAGCATGTCAACCGCTTCGGATACTCGCCGCTGCCTCTCAGTCCTGACTCTCCACCGTCGCACAGTGGAGCGGGGGGCACCAGACGGCCTTGCGTCGATAGCCACCTGCGGCAAGGGAAAAGGGTCGTTGTGAAGCCACTGTCCGCGAGGCCACCATTCAGTCTTGGTCTGGCCTCCAGCTCCACGTCGAGGGCGCCCACCGTCTTCAGGCGCGGCAGAGCCCTGCTGGTGAGCGCCAGGGAACACGGTCATTCCCCGCCCCCCGAGCCGTCGCCCGGGGGGCCGCCCTTCTTCTTCTTGCCCTTGTCCTTCCCCTTGTCCTTCAGGTTCCGCTTCCCCCCGTCGTCCGAAGGGCGCTCCCGCTCCAGCTCCTCTTTGTGCAACCTCATCTGCTTCAGTATATTGGCGCGGTCCTTCTGGCGGGCCACCACAAACTCTGTGACCTCGGGACGGCGGCAGAGCCCGATGCACCTGTGGGCCCGCCGACGGCGTCCTCGAGACCGGAAAAGTCTGGATGCCGTGGATTGCGCTGTACTGCCATCTCGATCTGGATGACCCGCCTGACCAGTGCCTCCATGCAGTGGAGGTTCTTCACATTGAGCTGGTCCATGCAAATCGCACGGCGGGCGATCTCCAGGAGCGAACGATGCTCGTGGCATTGGGCACCCCCTGAGAAGACCCCGCTCATGCGCTCCCACTCGGCCTGGTAGCTCGTGAGGTTCCCGCTGCCGACGGCCACCGACGTGACGAACTCGCCCATCGCGCGCGGCCCTAAGTCGGTGTAGTCGGCGAGCTCCACCTCCTCCATCTGCTCCACGGCGTCACGGAAGTCCACGTCCCTGCGGCCGATCTTCGACCGCTGGTCGCCGTTCAGGCGGATGTCGACGCAGCTCTCCTTGCGCTCCTTCATCCAGTCATCCCTCTCGTCGCGGGTGATCAGCTCGATCATCCGCTCCTGCCCGTCCAGCATCACGATGCCCTTCCTTCGCAGATGGGCACAACGATTCGGGTCCTCCACCACGTCAGCAGGCACCACCTCGCCGAACCTCGCGTCCCGCGGCTCGGCGAGCACCCAAGCGAGGTCCGCCTCATCCTCGGCGTCGCCAGCCCCCAGCAGCGCCGCGCGCTGCCGGGCTTGGCGCTTCAGCTCAAGCAGCTCCCCGTGGTCGATGGGGTCGAAAGCATAGAGCCCAGCCAGCACCCACCGAGGAAACTGCGCATTCCGATCGAGGACATAGTGGCGCACCTCGTTCAAGTTGTGCTGCGTGATCTCCATATCTGGCGTCAAGCACATCCAGCGCCCGTCGCCCATGGCGTGCAGAAGAATCCGATGATGCCACGGCAGAGCATCCAGAGGGAAGTTCACGACGATCTGCGGCTCCCGTATGTCAAGCGAGCGCGGCCTGGCCGCCATCTCTCCTCGATGCCGGCGTCACCACCAGCGCCCTCGCTGTCTCTGGTCCCGCGGCAGGCTCCACCACGTGAGCGTCACGCAGAGCCTCGGGCGGACACACAGATGCACTCGACCCGCGAGCCGCGAGTCGGCCAACGTACAGTCCGACGGCAGCGCCGAGCACCAGACCCGCCAGCGCGCAGCCCGTGGCCACGCCCGCGCCCAGCAGCAGCAGCCAGCTGCCCGCCTCGGGTTTGGGGCACGTGCACTCACAGTGCGCGGCCGGACAGGCCGGGAGCGGAGGCCCCGACGAGCACACCAGCTCGGGGCACGCAGGGATCGCAGGAAGGCTCGGACACTGGGCGGCGATCGCCGCGGTCTGGTAATGAAGGCCAAGGGTGGTGAGGTCCCTGGCGGCCGCGAGGACGACTGGCGCCCACCCCAACATCAGAACTTGAGCCATCACAGTTGCAGTGACAGCAACATGATGTAGACCGGTATGCTACACAGGGACTGGGAGAAACCACATCTACAGATTACTATTTTTTTACAGCCGCAGGCGGAAGCGCGCTTGCGGCAGGCGGTCACGGTCGGGCTGCGGCCGCGACAAGGGGGGCGGGCGCGCGCGGGGCCGCGGTCAGGCGGCAGGCAGCAGTGACCCAGGGGCTTATAGGATACGCGAAGCGTCAAGAATTATGAAGAACTCCCGCGCGAGAGCGCGATTCCTGTATACATTGTCAGGACGTCCCACGCGAAAACGCGACTTTCAAATACCCTGTGAGGAAATATCTGGCGGGAGCCGTGGTTGTTGTAAACCGGGGGCCAAGGACACAATGTGGTGACACCTCACTTCCCCGTGTAGACAAAAATGGGTGCGAGCCCTGGGAGAAGCACTCGAATTGAAAACATATAATGGTTACCGCGCAGGGGAGCTCACCAATACTTAGTCGCTAGACATGAGAATTCAACAACAGCAACATGACCACCACCACCACCAAGGACAACAACAACAACACTCACTTTCAGACTGTTCGCTCGTTCGCTCATATCTGCTCGCGGGCCATCCAACACGTATATCCCACACCCTCGGCACCCGCCCTCTTCGCCTTCGACTGTTCCCCGCTTGGGGGCATGTGTCTTTCTCACCTGCAACGTGGCAGGAGGGCGGCCATGAACAGAAAACACGTGGCAGAACCAGACGGGCAAAACGGGTGGGTCGACCCTAGCGGGCGGGTCGGGAAGGCGGGCCCAGGCTGCCAGGTCGAGCAGGCGGGTTGCTGAAGCGTGCGTCCTGCATGACTCGCGAAGAAGTCTCGAGAGATCGCACGATTCCCAAACAAATCGTGCGGAAATCCACAGCGAGAGCGTGATTCCTGAGAGTCGAGGGCGCGGCGTCTGAATACATTGCGAGGAAGTCCCTTGCGAGAGCGCGATTCCTGCATACATTGTGAGGACGTCCCGCGCGAGAGCGCGATTTGGTAATACACTGTGAGGAATTATCCGGCGGGTGCCAATGTTGTTGCTGCTGCTGTTGTTGTAAACTGGAGGCCAGGGGAACAATTTGGTGAGACCTCACTTTCCCGAGTAGACAGAAATGGGTGCGAGCCCCGAGAGAAGCACTCGAATTGAAAACATACAATGGTTACTGGGCAGGGGAGATCAACACCCATTATTATTCCGACATGGGAATCCAGCAACAGCAGCAGGAACAACTGCAACAATTCCACCACCAACAACAACGCCACTACCAATCACCAACACACACTAACACAAACACTAACAACAACAGCAACAGCAGCAACAACAACAACATCAACAACACCAACACCAACACCAACAACAATAACAACAACACCACCAACAACAACAGCACATAACCGCTGGGCCAAGGGAGCCGAAGCCGATCCCGGCCCCCTAGCAGTGATGAAGAAAGCAACACCATGGTGAGCGAAGGGTCTGCCTACCTCCCTCCCGAGAGATCTGGAAAATTTCGGGACGGACTGGCTCAGGCGGGGGCACATCGGCCTGGACTCGGCGGCACATCGCCGATAGATCGGCGGCAGGCCCTCGCAAGCGGAACCGCACGGTCCTGGGCGGGGTGGGCTATCGCGCGATCGGGGTTGCGAGGCGGGGATTCATCCATGTCCACCGCCTAGGGACCGACGTCCTGGTGCCCCAGCGGGCAAAGGACATGGACATATTTTGGCCCCCCGGGGGCCCGCATCCATACCCAGATCCACCGCCTGCCGAGGTCCCCGAAAACTGATCCTCCAGGCGGTGGTCATCCAGAAATTCCCACCTCGGAGCGATGACCCCGACGATCCTCTTCGATCCTCGGCCCTCGGCGGCCGGCCCGGGGGAGGGGGGGGCGCCTCGAAGTGGCGGCAGTGGTGCAGCACGAACGCGAAGAGAGCCTGGGGCGCCGGGCGCGCGAGAGGCTCGCTGACGGTGCGGCGCCACCACCGCAACATACAGTCGAGGGCAGGAAATCCACCCCGATAATAACCACCCCGACACGCGAGGCCTCTAGTAAACGCGCCCAGGGAAGGAATCGAAGAGGGCAGGGCTGTTCAGCAACCGCCCAAGGCCGTTTCTAGTAAACGCCAATTGTCCGGTCCAGGTGCCTCCCTTGATACATAGTTTTTTGTATCTGCGGTGCTGTGCTGTCGTGCCCTCCCACCAAATTTAGGTCGGGCGTGTCCCCCACAGGCGGATTTTGGACGACAGATAGAATATACCCCAGAAGTGCAATACAAATATTCAACAAACAAATGGTCCCCTGACTTTTTTTTTACTATTTTTGAAGATTCCCCATTTAGAGGGACAGCCCCGATTTAACACCTCATCCCTTCCTCCCAGCGGGCGCCCTTCTTAATCGACTGGCGCGTTTGGGGCCGTGGGTTCAACTTAACTCGACGGGCTACGGAAATATGCGCCACGCACCCCAATAGTCATCCTCCAAGACAGCCCGCTAAATCACGAAGATCGCCCCAAGACGGTCCAAAAGGCTGCCGCAAGCGACCGAAAACGGACAAAGACGGCCTAAAACTGCTCCCAAACCGCCTAAGAGGCCCCCAAGACGGCCGTGTAGGGCCCCAAGAGGGCCCCAAAAGGCTCCCGAGAGTGGGAACACCAACCGACATCTCGAGCCTTCCGCCCCAACAGGGCTCCAACGATGCCCCAAGAGGCGCCCAAGAACCCCTCCAGAGGCCTCCAAGAGGTCCAACAGAGCCCCGAGAGCAACCCCAAGAAGACCCCTACGAGGGTAAATGCAGTTATTGTCCTTAAGTTTTTAAGCCTTTTTCGTCTTCGTCGTCGTTGTCCCCTTTTCAGGGTTGGCGGCGCAGACCTGAAGGCCTTCACATTATTACCATGCGCGCGCACTCGCGTATCACAAATAACATGTCCAATAATCATCTTTTTTTTTAGAAAACGAATGTGACATAGTCCAAACGCACGTACCGTCGCGCGCATATCGAAAACTGTCAACATTCCCAGGGTTCGTAAGGATTTCAAAATCGAGGTTCCAACATTTGTTCCCACATATTTGCGGGCGCGCCCCTGCGACTTCTGATGGAAACCATCGGTGTTTCAACATTCTCGGCACATGAAACCACGCGGGCCTCTGGCGCGCGCGTGTCGGAACCATTCGGACGCCCTTACGCACATGCTGGGGGAACACGATCGCTGTCAAATACTTCCATGCGGGTCGGCCGCGCACGTCGGCTGCGCGCGCATGACGGAATCCCTCCAGCATGGACATCATCATCGTCATCGGCGTGGCGATCATCGGCGCTGTCATGGCATTGCCGAAGTCATCATGATCATCGTCGACGCCGTCGCTACTCTCATCATCGTTTCCGTCGTTGTCGACGTCACCATAGTACTGTGCCCGCCTGGGTCACCGATCCGCATTAAGTGCCCGCGCGCCAGCGAGGCTCGTGAGACGCGCTGGGGCGCCCCGCCTCGGTCAACGCCACCGCGGCCGCGTCTGTTGTATCAAACTAGCTGGCCGCTCTGCGCGTGAGCTCGCGCACGCCAGCGCGGCCGCACAGATGCGCCAGCCAGTGCCGAGGAGCCGTCGCAATCGCCGCCGAATGGGTTTTGCAAACCAATTCGCAGGTGGGAGGGTAGGATGATTGCGCGAGCACTGGGGTTGACGGCTCCAAATTCAGCAGATATACAGCATGGAGTGCACTCTTCAAGCTGTGCTTGCGTGCCTTGTTCCCCCTCCCCTATCCTCGCCTTCCTCATCCTCGCGTATCCTCCTCCTAATTCTCACGCTGACCCTCCCACACGATAATCGTTCACCCGCTCTTCCTCGTCTTTTTCGCCGTTCGCGCAGGCTCCTCAACTGCGACCAAGCAAACCAGACGCACCTTCCACGCGTGACAGAGGGGGACAATATGACCATGTACGTTCGGCCACACATTTTTTTTGTCGCGAACCCGGCGAATGCACAGGCCAATATGGCTGGCTCGGGTTGCGAAATTGTAGAGTCGCACCAGGACGGGCGAAGTAGAGACGGCGGCCGCGGAAAGAGGGAGTACTGCGGGGCCGGCATTTAGGACAAGATGAACTGGATTCGCTGCGGGTGCTGCGGCCCAGGCTCCGGGTGGACTCTTGCGAAGGGGCAGCCAATGCTGCACGGTGCAAGCCTGCCAAGGTGCATGTTGCGCTTCTCCAGGGTAGTTACAAACTCCACAGACAAAATGCTGGGAGGTGAAGGCTAGCTGCGGTGCTGGGCCAGGATGAGGGATGAAAAGTTCAGAATGCCATCGGAGGTCTAGTGCGTGAGCCGTTCGGCCACGCACCCATGGGCAAGTTAGGACGGTTTGGCTCTCTCACCTTCTTCACGATACACCTGTAGCACGGCAGTACAAGTACCACCATTAATGTTTGCATGCGTATATGCATGAATGCATGCATGCTTGTATGTAAGTGTGTGCATGCATGCATGTTTGTACGTATGTATGTATGTGTGTATGTGTACATGTATGTATGATTGTATGTTTGTATGT